TTGGGTCTGCAGTGTGACCTTTACCATGTTGACCTCATTATGCACGTATTTCTGCGCCCACTTTGTTGTATACGTGCTTTCATGAATATTTAATAGCAATGAATTTTCTGCAGAATAAACCAGTCGGGTGATTTCGCGATTTTTTTATTTTATTTAAACTGAAAAAACAAATTAATCGCCCGACCGGTGCCAGTCTACATGTACATGTTTATCTGGTACTTGTCTACTCAATCACGTATAGAAACCTACCAGATATACAAAAACTAGTCCACAGTTTGGTCACCTTCAACCGGTGTCCCAATTATTTCACGCCGCTCAAATGCAATGTCATCGGGTGGACAGTTGTGGGGAGAGGTCAGTACAGAACCATTCGATGATTTGGCTGACATTTTAAATGTTTTTCCAACAGTACCTCGGCAGTTTTTCTGTGGTCGGCAGAGAATGATGTGAACCTTCGGTAGAAAAAGACAACCTAGAATAACACTTGCACAAAGCGAGCTTGCAATGCTAATAGAAGCTGTCCTGACTTCCATCTCCTCTCCACTTGTGAAGTATATGGGCACAAATGCTAGCCAAACAACAAATATACTGTACATAGTAAAAGCTATGAACTTGGCCTCATTGAAGCCTTCCGGAACTTTTCTAGTCTTGAACGCATAGACAGTACATAGAAGCATCAATAACGCCGGGTAAGCACTGTCTATAAGATAGGTAGCATCTTTATCACCTGCGCAGATCAGCAGATTCTTGCCTCGTATGGCATAGTGATGTGTCACGGTTGGCGGGTAGAACTGAAACATGACAACCATAACAACTATTTCCACCGAGAAAAGAAGAAGCGTGAAGACAACCTGCCAAAATACTGTTAAGAATTTAGGCTCTTCGCCGATCTCCAGTTGAAACAATCTCGACATGCGATTTGTTTTTACTAGGAGTGCGGAGTAACACAGCGTGAAACACAGGCTTATTCCTCCCCTCGATAACGCACATCGTGGTTCCGACGGTTTGGCCAGCAACACAAAGGTGATGGCGTAAGACGCGAGTATGCCTCCAAGAAGGATATAAGACAGCTCTCTGCTAGACGCTTTGACTACCGGGGTGTTGTTATTGGCGATAAACACAGCACATGTGAACACGGTTGCTAGCAAACCTACTGAAGCGAAAGTCATACATATAATGGAGAACTTGTTATAATATTGAATGTATTCTTCGGGGATCGGTTTACAAGTCTGATGAAAAGTGTCTGGTGCCTCTCCTAAGGGGCATTCCAGACACTCATAGTCATTGTAGAGATACTCGAAATCGCTACACAATTTACATGTCCAGCAACAGATTTCTTCTTCCAACAACAGCTTCATCTCCCCGGCTTCGCACTGTGGGTTGCACGTAGAGATAGGATATGTTGGACGGTCCAGTCTGTACTGCAGTGCACTGTAATCCAGGGTAAAGTTGTCATGAAGGAAATCGTACAATCCAACCTCTATCCATTCATACTCCCCTGACGGTTGTTGTCGTGTATGCCATATTTGGTACGGGATTAGGGCATCGCCGTGTTCATCCAATTGAATAAGATGTCCCGACCAATCTAGTATACAAGAAATGATTCAGAACATAGATCAGTTTGTCATAATTATTACAAGATACGCAGAAAAATATATGCATGTTGCATTAATGTGCCAGACATTTGTCATAAACGGCCACGAGCTGCAATTTCTATCAAGTTGATTTAATTTATGTAAACATGTGAAAATTGCTGCAGCAACTGAAAACAATCATGTCACATGGTCTATAGCATTTGTATTTAGACGAAAGAAACAGATATCTGGCTGTCATGTGTTGTTTATTTGGAAAGAGGGTCTATCATCCCTAACCTTATCCATAACCCTAACACCTAGCCCCAATGTAGTAATACCCCTCCAGAACTATACATGTCTGAGAATGAGCATATACGATTCGAATAGGAAGGGGCAAAGTTAGGATTAGGGGGCTCTAAGTAATCCTTACCATTTAATCAGTGTGTATTTATTTATTACAAGAGCGGCGTTCAAATAGAAAACCTACTTTGTAGTCGCTACCTGTGACGTCATTTACATCCAATGACGTTTCACAAACGCTTCGTTATTAAAAAAAACCGGGTTATTACATTTCTTCTCCACAAAGATTATGGTTGTATTGGCGCTAATCATATATAACAAAATAGTACCATTACAAGCTTACCTTCAAATGACGTCATTTCAATGTATCGCATGAGATCCTTTCTGTTAACCGGGTTCATTTGTGGACATAGCCCTGGAATTCCTTTGCACAGATCACGGTGCATGTTATTTAGAGCATGCGCAAAGAGCAGAACGGCGTCAACTACGTCTGAGACCATTACTAGTGTTGGGTATGTATTAAGAATGGTTGTGAAGTTTTCTTTACCTGTACAATACGTTGTAAAACCACTTTTCCAGTAACTCGGAAAGTTATTTAATTTGCACGCAAATAAATGTTCCCATGCTTCCGCGAATGCTGGGTTTCGTGCATTTGTCTCGGGCTTCAGCTCACTGAGATACTCTCTAAATCCAGCAATCGGTAAGACACGGGCATGTAGCGAGAGGGAGCCCTCGGCGATTCGAGCAAACTCGGCATTCAATGGCGATGAAGGCTGCGGCGTGTCTTCGTTGTTCTGTTGACATTCGGTGGTGGGCCATGGTTCCTGTCCCACCCACACGAAGCGGTCTTGCATGCCTGCACGGATGACAGCCTCGAATATCCCGCGAACATAGTGATGCCAAGCATACACAACAACAACTGTCGAAAAATAAGCAGAAAATTGTATTTATTGGTGTATTAATTGGTTGAATCAAAAGCCCATGGCTTATATATATCTCCCGGATTCCGTTAAATTAACAAAAAAAAAACGTCCTTCTAGTCATTCTCATTTTTGTCTTGTTATTCTCTTTACCTTACTAAGTCCTCTGATGATTTAGTTGTGTAATAAAGTTATTATTTAATTCCGGGAACCACATCATACACAAGAACGGCCAAACAATAAATATATATTTGAAAAAATCTCGAAATAACGATAAAATTAAATAATTGACCAATTCGGTTAGCCTAACAAGGTCGTGGATCGCGCCCTCCGCCGTGCTCCAAACCAAACACACGTTAATCCGGCCGCCACTCACGCCCACACTCACGTCACGTACATGTTAATTGACATAAATACAAAAGATTTATTGTACGCTTGAATAATATCACTTGATATTGACATGACCTTTCTAATACCCCCCTTAATACTCCATCGGAAATGCAATAGCTCAGTCGTTAGAGGCTAAAGCTCCTGTGGTTGATGTTGTGGTTTCGAATCCTTTATAGGGCAACTTGTTCAATACAATGTAATTCGAATAGAATACGTTTTTCTCCCCCTTAACTCCCTGACTAAAGCTGCTCAGTCCTAGCCAATGTGCAAGGTCTGATTTGCAATAGTGGTTTACAAAATATGCAACAGTTATGTGTTGCAATTAGTCAATGTCAAATTAGCAATAATAGTCAATGACACTTACTCCGCGCATGCGTCCTCGCCAACAGTTTCGCCACAACTTCATCGTAATCACCGTCCTCTATCAACTCGAGTGGTAGAGGAATTTTTACAGTAGCGGCGATGCACACACCATATTCTTCCGCCAGCTCTGCCATTGTGGTGTAAGACGACTCGCCGTAACTGGTGTCTTCGTATACCACCGATAAATAAGTCCAGTTTAGAGACCTCACTAGTTGCATTATCCCTCGTACGTGGTAAGTGTCGGTTGGCACAGTTCTCGCGAAATAACGAAACCGATGTCCGTCACTCAGTTCGGGGGATGTGGATGCATAGCTTACCTAGTAATAGTAATAAGTAATAAGGCCGAGCGTAAACTTTATAATAGGTTCATTCAATCGTTCAATAGAGTGATGCGCGTCATGGCAACGTAGAACGCTCTGTGATGTAGCTGGAATATGCATTTAAAATTGTGAAATATGGAAGCTAAATCTTTGGTATATAAATGTGCATTAATATACAATGTACATAAGTAAAAAATCAGTTTTCAAAATATACATTTACTTTTTGAATTAAAAATCGGCATTCTATTCGTTATAACGGATGAGAATTTGTACGTCACGTCGCGCCCTCTAGCGACCAAGCCTTCTGGTGACGTAACTAAGTGAAAGGAGAACCATAGGATCAATATTGTTTTTAACATGTTGTCGCTCGACAATAAAACAATAATATTGTAGACAGATTTTCTATATTTTAAATGTTGAATGACAAAGCGACTGGACACAGTTTTGAATCACTTGGCTTCCATCCATTTACGTACTTTGACGCTAGCAGAACCTTCTCGCTTGAGGGCGCGACCTATATGAAAGGCTCTAAGTGTAAGGTACTATACCTGGGGTATGTGGAACAATTGTAGAGAATTGGCCAAGTCAATGCTGACGTCACTGCGAAGTGCGCCCACTACACCTGCCACTGGCACAGCTCGTACGTCGCCCACGTGTTCAATACCGTAATCCTGACCAAGTGCGCCCATGATAAAATCAAACGCCTGTGACAGAGCATAGGCCGAACTACCACAGGTGTCTAAGACGTGCGCTCCCAACGTTACCCCTGGGAGAAGGCTAGTATCTTCGTTTATTTTATCAATTGTGAACAGCATGGCTTCAATCTCCTGAAAGACAAGCATATATTTTGACAATTACGTCGTTATCGAATTGCAATAAGGGCAATGCGGGTGTGCTTAGCCCACTAAATTGAAATTTGAAATACACGGCTGAAATGGAATCGCGAAAGAAAAATATTATTTCCTGTTGGTGTCATGACACATGAAGTGTGTGTCCTATATTATAAATAATGATCGCAATGGTATTTCCATTGAGGAATAAACTGAAATCACTCACAATTTGTAATTATTTTCACGATTTCTCAGCAAATGCGACCCCAGATATTTAGTTATTCCCGAGAATCGTAGTCTAAAATCGTCACGTATATCATTCACTTGTGCACAGTCTACTTGACTCAGAGTTTATTGAACGAATTTGAATAATTTCCTAGATGGTCAAACACCATTACAGCTCAACTCATCGCATATTCCTACGTAATTAGGGTTCAAACACACAGAATCCAAACGTTATCATCAACACGTAAAATACCGAAGCATTTAGGCACTTTGCATGTAATGTATATGATTGATCGGTACGTATCTTTGATGTGTCGACTAATTTACTAAAATGATCATGTTTATCTGTCAAGATAACAATAAATAATCACCCGAGATGAACGCAGAGTTCGGATGAGATGTGTTTGTTTGGTGCCAACCCCAAAATGTATAAAAAAAATGAATCAATGCTAAAAACCGTAATCATAGCAACCACAATTCATGTCACTGAGCGATTTGCATAAACATTCACTCTCAACAGGCGATGCTAATCGAAGCGGAGAAACAACACGAGTAGTGCAAGATCAAAAGATCAACATCATTCCTCGTCGTTACCTAGCAACCGCAGTATATATGACATGTTATTTGGTTGAATTGTATTAATGATGGAGAACATCTCAATGTTCTGCCACGTGCGTGAGTATTTTCACGATGATTGAGGTGACATACGTCAATTGTATGTGATATCAATACAAGAAAATAAGTGAAATTTGCATTGAACTCGTCATACAATTGCCGCCCTGTGGCTCAAATGTAAAATGTAACTCTCATAACTGTTAATCATGCACTAATAAAATGCAAACATTTTACCTTGTATCGCTCGACGTCGATTTTTTACAATGACTCTCGTGGTGAAGAGAGGAGACGTGTGACCTTGTTCCCCTGTCCCAGCCTCGCCAGGATCCGAACTCACTCAAGTTTCGGTAATGATTCCAGGACGTGAACATGCCGTAAGTTGTCGGTGTGCGAGGGGACACGCGACATTTCGCCATACTTTTGAAATTAATAATTTGATTAAATAGACATACGCTACAACTTAACCTGACGACATTTAACGTTTTTTTTTTATAATTGCAATTATTGCAGTACGTTATTTTACCACAGGACAAATGAAGAACCAACAAAGAAGGGGATTGTATTTACAGCTTCTTGAATCAGCTTAATTTGGGACCTACACATATTATGTTGCCAGTGTGAAACGACGGATCTTTCTGTGTTTTTTTTTACAAGAATGATATATTAGATCGGTTTTATTTAAATATAACTGCACAATAACAATTTACAATCAATAAGGTCAAAACATACAGCTCATAGCCTTTTATTTTATTTGCAACGAACGAGGATAGAATTTAGAATCGAAAACTACTACGTGACATTTCTTACCTTGATATGAATGGCTTGATCTCTTGTCATTGGATTGCACAGGTAACCAAGTGAACTGGAGTGAATCGGGAACAACCCTCCGATGATGACGTCACCCGCTATCGACGCCACAAATCGCTTGGGCAGCGTGTCGTTTGTATTGGTCCGAAAAGGTCTAGATCTGTTGCCGCCATTTTGACTTTGTGTATCTGTGGAACTATTCCATTTCGCACCAGCAGCGTCTGAAATATCCAACAATAAATAATAATTTAAAAATTCTAGTAAGTTTCAATAGAGGGGAATATTAATGAATATTACGAATTTAGATGTTCATGCCAGCAATCGTGCGATCAAATGTACTTAATCAAAAATATGGTTAACCCAAGGAGGATCGTAGTTTTTCAATGGTACCGTTTTGCGAGCCACAGTGCGATCTGGAACTTGGAGGTCTACAATCAACACCTGTCGCTGTAAATAATCTTTGATTATCAACTTAATCCGTTATTAAAGCATAAATGTCACCATTTTCGATTATGAAAACACGTAATTGCCAAAGGGGTTATGTTTTCAGTAGTTTCGTTTCTGAATCAGCAGTTTGTTTGTTTGTTGACAGAATAACACGAGAAGTTATAAATGTATTCTTATACAATTATAAGCAAGGAGGGGTTATCCTTGATACAAGCACAAATCCAATAAATGTTGGTAAAGATATGGGTATCTTTCCATAGAAACACCAATTTTGGGAATGTTTTTTTCTCATTTCTAACTCGAAAGATTGTGGATGAATTCCAACTTGAATAAAATTATCAGAACGGGGTGATATGGACATGGGGAACAATCGATTTTGGACACAGTTGCCATGGTAACAACAATTTGGGAATGTTTTTTTTTTTCAAATATGACAAACATATGATATGGATTAATCGAATGGAATGTTTCGTATTTATAACAAACAATTATGAAAGATTTTTCATAATATTTTTTCGGGAGAGGCTGCCCTCTCTGCAATGGCCGATCAATTAAATGTTAATCTAGTTGCCATGGAAACAAAAAATGAAGTGAAAATGATACAATTCCAAATGCTGAGTGTATATTTTCAAGATCAATGAATCTAATAATATAGGGGCAATAAAGCTGGTCTGCGCTCTCCGAGTACTTTACAGTTACGGTAGTAATGTTGTGCATGATGATGAATACATTGGAGTGTGATATACCTTGACCTAAAATACGTTGTTCGAGTACCAAAAAACTCAAAAATGACAATTCTCGATTGCGCAATGCGTTGATTGACTTGTGCCCACTATAACAATCACTGCGCATGCGTGTGAGTATTTTTCACATTACGCCGAACGAATACTATTCGAACGAATTTCTTCTTTACGCGTCAAAGTCAGCTATTGTCACCATTCACTCTATTTTTCATATCATTTTTCAAATAGAAAGTATGTCCATTTGGTACAAAAAAATCCCTCCACCCAAAAATGGAAAAATACAGGCAAAATTTGGCGGGGGGAAAAATACGGCGCACAATAGGATAATCGTCACACAACATGCAGCAATCAATATAAAGCAATATAAAAACAAACAAGTCTCTTGTTTTTGAGAAATCACTGTTTCGGAATCTAGTCCGTCGGGGCGTACATTGGTTTTTGCAAAATTCTGTGTAAGGGTATCCATTTTCATATTTTGGTTGTTTCGGAAGAGATAGGGGGGCACACTGTTATCATATTGACAGAGTGGTACGTCATTGGCCTAAAAGCATTTTCTGACGTTTGCACCTTTGTGTCACAAATGCTTTCGTCGAGCGAATCAAATTGAGACTACACTTCTGATACATCAAATGTACAGTATATGTTATGGCTCATTAGGCCTACAGGATTGTAGTTGTTGATGGTGCGATAATGAACTTTATACTTCAGTCCTCGTAAATAATTCAAGTGCCTTGACATTTTAAATGCATATCAAGTCACTGGGATAAAACTTAAAAGGCGGTGGTCGTTGCGCCGCGCATGTGCGAAAAATGTGTTGATAACCATTAATTTTCCCACAATCTAATGTGCTCTTCTAGTACAATTTGCGAGTACGAGTTTTGACCTGGACGCGACGTGCGCTAATTACCGCCGGTGACTTCTTCGATACCTTCCAATCACCAAAGAAATTACCAAATTACACGTGGTAACGTCTAAGTTTGCATTCTTTGGTCTGCGCAACAGTCAAAGTCGCAATCTTTGTTCATATGAGACCCATTTCACGCGCATGCGTTGCGCGACGACCTCCGCCCTTTAATAGTTAAGGTTTGATACAACGACGTTGCTCCAGAGAAATATATAGTGACGAAAAAATGACCGCCAGTCCGCCATCTTGAATCGGATCTCGAAATAATCACAACCGGCACCTTTCTTCTAATATGTATTACAAGCATACCAAGTTTGATTGGTAAAATTGGCCGGGTCATCTTTGACAACCTGGTGTAGTTTCCGGCACGTTAAAGTTTTAGGATTTCACAATTTATATAATTATTACAAAATGGCTGCGACAAATTCACAATACTAAAATAAGTGCCTGTGTAATACCGTGAGAATCTGTGTACCAAATTTGAACATACAGTAGTTGCTCATTGCATGTCAGAGAAACAGATAGAGACACAGCAAAACAAGAAAATGGCCGCCAGCCTGCCACCTTTCAACTCAATGTGCGTGTCATCATACCAAGTTTGATTAATGAAATGTCGGAGAAATAGCTCCAGACCAAATTTAATAGTATCCATGTTCGAAATTAATATAAACAGAAACTAATAACTCTAGCAGTTTTGAACGCTAACAATATTGTGCTCAGTGATCTTATTCGGGTTTTATCTCTTCGGCTGCTAATCGCGCTTTGATGTAGACGTGAATTACTTTGAGGATTGCTTCTGACTGGTTCCCATGGCCCAACTATTATCCTGGACGCCAGACAATAGCGTCACAGGTCTTCATTTTTAGAGGAAAGAACTCTACTGTAAAATATCTACATCTTAGATTAACGAAATAATAGATTTATTTTAGCTAAATCAGCTAAAATAACGTGAAAACTAAAAAAGGAATTTTCTGTGATTTTTTTGTGATCCGATCGTTATTTCGACCAACTGACAATTGCGAAACGTTTCACGAGTTTCATGAAAGTTGAACAAAACCATCACCCCTCCTATAATATTGGTTTGTGCCAAAATAAATGCGACTGATTTGCATATTAGTCCCGCAAATAGTGAAGCAGACGACAATCCAATTATTCAGTTGTGTACCTTGGCGCCATCGAAGGAGATCGATGTGTGCATAAATTTGCATATAGTGATTGTGTTGTGAGTGAGTGGATAATGTTGTACAGGAAGTGTAGTCCGAGACCCAAGAGTCGTACTAATCACAAGGGAACCCTCAATACGGTGCTTAAACGTTGTTATTTACGCGATGTTTCGCGATTGACATGCTACAGGGATTGATTTACCTTGCCCTTCAATGACAGATCACATGAACCCACGAATACGTTGCCATTGTGTGATAGCCGTACTGTGGAAGGGAATTTGACGCGAACGAGGATTCTATCTCTATTTTGAAAAAAAAAAGGTTTCAGCATTTAGCATCAGCGGAAAGGAAGTTTTTTATGAAACTTTTCGCGATTGACATGCTAAAGGAACTGATTTAACTTGCCCTTCAACGACAGATCACATGACCCCACGAATACGGTTCCATTGTATGATAGCCGTACTATTTGACGCGAACGAGGATGCTATCTTTATTTTGAAAAAGGGTTTTCAGCATTTAGCATCACCGGAAAGGGTGATACATGTATATATTATACCAAGAAATACCGGGAAAATATATAGATGAAAAATGTCTTACGTTTGAAAAGCCAACACCATATACATGCCGCATATTACGAGGATGGTCGCAGAAAATGATTAATTAATTGATTCTATGAAAAGCAAAAGTTCCCTTTTTGTTAACGTTATATATTCTGGCTAATTGTACCCCATATTGTGACTACGATTGATTTCATCTACCCATGTTAGGTGATCACACCGCGAGATAGTGACCATTCTAGTTGATCAAATCACCGCAATTAACTTTATTTTCCATAATATAGCTTTTTTCAAACACATTTCCATGTTCATAGAAAAAAAAATATCAAGCAAATTATGAAATATTTGATAACAATAAAAATATGATGCAAAATATACGTAAATCTTAGAAACATTTGCAAAGAAAGTTGTTGGGAAAAACATTACCACGGACAATTAACCGATGTGTTTCCAATATTGGACCATTCGAGAATACACGGCAAAACGCTGACTGAATCATGATGGCGTCTGCAAAGTTAACGTAACCCCACTAGAAAATCCATGCCAGCCTAGTGCACTTGTCAAGGCACGGGCACATCGGTGATCGCCGTGCGTCGAATAATCGGCAACTTATCGTCTCGAGCAATCTTTTAGTACTTTGCGTGCCAACAAAGATGACCGCTGATGAGCTACAAAGAAAGTGCCTACAACGCTTCCAGCGAAGAGTTCGGCGGTGTCTTTAGTTTACATTCTCCCTATACACGGCCATGAAGTTTCAAAAACCACGACGAACTATTCATTTTTCTAGCACTGTATTTAATTTAGTGTGTTTCCTGTATGATAATATTTCTATATTGTGTTACAATTGGAAGATTTTTCCCACAATGCACTGCATATATCTGCAATTACATACTCCACAGTACAATATTTTAATTTGGCGCGACCTGCACGTGATGATTGAAAGCAAAAGAGTAAAATAGGGAAC